TCCAAACAGTAATCAATGCAATTTTTCCTCACTGCAGATCAACAAAAAACGTCTTGTTTTTTTGCAAGAACTGGAAAGCTGCGGTGGCCACCTTGGTAACCGGCACAGGCAGCTGACTGCATACAACAGAATCTCTCGAAAAATGTTGTTTTTCTAGGATTTCAGACGACACGTTAGGGAGTTTTTTGGCGTAGTTTTGGAACTAGCTCGTCCTTCAGAGGCATGGTGTTTCCCCCCGGGAGCTGATTTTTTCGAAGCTGTATTCACCCCGCTTCGCGTGGGGTGGCCGCCCGCACCGCAGGTTTATTTCGGTCCGTGAGAGGGGCTAAGGGTGGTTTTCCCCGTGGGGGCTCCCCAAGCTAAGAATTTTCACTTTCCCCCCGCGTGGGGGCTCCCCAAGCTAGGGAATTTTCACTTTTCCCCCCCTGTGGGGGCTCCCCAAGCTAGGGAATTTTCACTTTTCCCCCCCGTGGGGGCTCCCCAAGCTAGGGAATTTTCACTTTTCCCCCCCGTGGGGGCTCCCCAAGCTAGGGAATTTTCACTTTTCCCCCCCGTGGGGGCTCCCCAAGCTAGGGAATTTTCACTTTTCCCCCCCGTGGGGGCTTCCCAAGCTAGGGAATTTTCACTTTTCCCCGCCGTGACAGCTTCCCAAGCTATGGAATTTTCACTTTTCCCTCCCTTGGAGGCTCTCCAAGCTGCGGAATTTCAAATAGCTAGACAACGACGCCTAGATAGTCCCCCAAATCCCGTGTTCTTTGAATGTGTTTCCATGTTTTTGCAATGGTTTCCTTCAAAGCACGGTACTTTACACTTTTGTCGCCATAAAACCGGTCGAAAACATCATGTTCGACAATGCTTCCAATTCCCTTATCTCCCCAACCGTTGAAAATACCGCTATTTACAGTGTTTTCTTCAATTTTTCCATGTTCCAATGCCGGTAGCCAACTCCAACATATATATAAGAAATCCTTCCAAAACATTGTTTTTGACAGTGTTTTTCCAATGTTTCCAGTCAAACAGACGGTAATTTACACGTTTTTTGCCATAAAGGCAGTAAATCCTTCCAAAACATTGCTTTTGACAGTGTTTTTGTAATGCTTCCAGTCAAGCATACGGTAATTTACACGTTTTTTGCTATAACGTCAGTCCAAAACACTTGTTTTTGCAGTGTTTTCAATGCTCTGGCATCCAAAAACCTTGCAAAATCTTGCTATGTACAATGTTTTTTTCATTTTTGGCCGTTTTTCCATTGCCGGAAAGCTACCAAAATGACCCAAAATTCCATTTCAATACCCTCTTGCGCTCAGACACCCAAAAATCCTCGAAAAATGTCGAAAACACCACCGTATTCTGGTCTCGGTGCGAAACCGTTTTTGCCCCCCCCCCCAGCTAAAGCTGATATAGCGACTGCTATATTAACAAATGTCATTGAGCATTTGGTGTTGCTGTTATGCCCCCCAATAAGCACGCCTTCACCGCCAAAGCGGTGTGGGCGGATTTACTGCTAGCAGCCGCAGGCAACAGAATCTCTCGAAAAATGTTGTTTTTCTAGGATTTTAGACGACACGTTAGGGAGTTTTTTGGCGTGGTTTTGGCACTAGCTCGTCCTTCAGAGGCATGGTGTTTTCCTGATTTTTTCGAAGCTGTTTTACTGCTAGCAGCCGCAGGCAACAGAATCTCTCGAAAAATGTCGTTTTTTCTAGGATTTCAGATGACACGTTAGGGAGTTTTTTGGCGTGGTTTTGGAACTAGCTCGTCCTTCAGAGGCATGGTGTTTTCGCCCCGGGAGCTGATTTTTTCGAAGCTGTTTTACTGCTAGCAGCCGCAGGCAACAGAATCGCTCGAAAAATGTTGTTTTTCTAAGATTTCAGGCGACACGTTAGGGAGTTTTTTGGCGTGGTTTTGGAACTAGCTCGTCCTTCAGAGGCATGGTGTTTCCCCCCGGGGGCTGATTTTTTCGAAGCTGTTTTACTGCTAGCAGCCGCAGGCAACAGAATCTCTCGAAAAATGTTGTTTTTCTAGGATTTCAGACGACACGTTAGGGAGTTTTTTGGCGTGGTTTTGGAACTAGCTCGTCCTTCAGAGGCATGGTGTTTTCCCCCGGGAGCTGATTTTTTCGAAGCTGTTTTACTGCTAGCAGCCGCAGGCAACAGAATCTCTCGAAAATGTTATTTCTCTAGGATTTCAGACGACACGTCAGGGAGTTTTTTGGCATGGTTTTGGAACTAGCTCGTCCTTCAGAGGCATGGTGTTTTCCCCCGGGAGCTGATTTTTTCGAAGCTGTTTTACTGCTAGCATTCTAGTAGGATTTCAGACGACACGTTAAGGAGTTTTTTGGCGTGGTTTTGGAACTAGCTCGTCCTTCAGAGGCATGGTGTTTTCCCCCCAGGAGCTGATTTTTTCGAAGCTGTTTTACTGCTAGCAGCCACAGGCAACAGAATCTCTCGAAAAATGTTGTTTTTCTAGGATTTCAGACGACGCGTTAGGGAGTTTTTTGGCGTGGTTTTGGAACTCGCTCGGAGATGATTTTTTCGAAGCTGTTTTACTGCTAGCAGCCGCAGGCAACAGGGTCTCTCGAAACATGCTGTTTTTCTAGGATTTCAGACGACACGTTAGGGAGTTTTTTGGCGTGGTTTTGGAACTAGCTCGTCCTTCAGAGGCATGGTGTTTTCCCCCGGGAGCTGATTTTTCGAAGCTGTTTTACTGCTAGCAGCCGCAGGCAACAGAATCTCTCGAAAAATGTTGTTTTTCTAGGATTTCAGATGACACGTTAGGGAGTTTTTTGGCGTGGTTTTGGAACTGGCTCGTCCTTCAGAGGCATGGTGTTCCCCCCCCGGGAGCTGATTTTTTCGAAGCTGTTTTACTGCTAGCAGCCGCAGGCAACAGAATCTCTCGAAAAATGTTGTTTTTCTAGGATTTTTCAGATGACACGTTAGGGAGTTTTTTGGCGTGGTTTTGGAACTAGCTCGTCCTTCAGAGGCATGGTGTTTTCCCCGGGCGCTGATGATTTCGAAGCTGTTTTACTGCTAGCAGCCGCAGGCAACAGAATCTCTCGAAAAATGTTGTTTTTCTAAGATTTCAGGCGACACGTTAGGGAGTTTTTTGGCGTGGTTTTGGAACTGGCTCGTCCTTCAGAGGCATGGTGTTTTCCCCCGGGAGCTGATTTTTTCGAAGCTGTTTTACTGCTAGCAGCCGCAGGCAACAGAATCTCTCGAAAAATGTTATTTTTCTAGGATTTCAGACGACACGTCAGGGAGTTTTTTGGCGTGGTTTTGGAACTGGCTCGTCCTTCAGAGGCATGGTGTTTCCCCCCCGGGAGCTGATTTTTTCGAAGCTGTTTTACTGCTAGCAGCCGCAGGCAACAGAATCTCTCGAAAAATGTTGTTTTTCTAGGATTTTTCAGACGACACGTTAGGGAGTTTTTTGGCGTGGTTTTGGAACTAGCTCGTCCTTCAGAGGCATGGTGTTTTCCCCCCGGGCGCTGATGATATCGAAGCTGTTTTACTGCTAGCAGCCGCAGGCAACAGAATCTCTCGAAAAATGTTGTTTTTCTAAGATTTCAGACGACACGTTAGGGAGTTTTTTGGCGTGGTTTTGGAACTAGCTCGTCCTTCAGAGGCATGGTGTTCCCCCCCCGGGAGCTGATTTTTTCGAAGCTGTTTTACTGCTAGCAGCCGCAGGCAACAGAATCTCTCGAAAAATGTTGTTTTTCTAGGATTTTTCAGACGACACGTTAGGGAGTTTTTTGGCGTGGTTTTGGAACTAGCTCGTCCTTCAGAGGCATGGTGTTTTCCCCCGGGAGCTGATTTTTCGAAGCTGTTTTACTGCTAGCAGCCGCAGGCAACAGAATCTCTCGAAAAATGTTGTTTTTCTAAGATTTCAGACGACACGTTAGGGAGTTTTTTGGCGTGGTTTTGGAACTAGCTCGTCCTTCAGAGGCATGGTGTTCCCCCCCCGGGAGCTGATTTTTTCGAAGCTGTTTTACTGCTAGCAGCCGCAGGCAACAGAATCTCTCGAAAAATGTTGTTTTTCTAGGATTTCAGACGACGTGTTAGGCAGTCTTTTGGCGCGGTTTAGATAAAATAAAAACGCCCTGGATGCGAGGGACAAAGCATAACACGGAAGATTGCACTAGTGCCCATACCTATCTGACCTAGAAAGCTGTTCCACACTGGTCCATTTTCCGGGGTCGGCGGCAGGGGCGGCAGCCCTTATATATATATACTAAACTAGCTATCTAGTTACTTTACCATAAGCAGTATCGTTCTCAGGTGACGAGATTTCTTATCGCAACTGGGTTTGGCACCTGAAAAATTCGGGGGAAGCACCGCTCCATCCATTGCTCACTCATCAATTATCCTCATAGATTTTGGGAACAATGATGGATATGATGATTGATCAAATGATGATGGAATGATGATGGATATTCCATACATATGATGGATAAATGGAATGGTGGATATGAGAACGATTGGGAGAATGATGATGGAACACATGTACCCCAAAATCCCTTGATCATCATTCTCCCAGTTGACATATCTATATTTGGGAGTCAATCCCCCATTTTCAGAGATGCCAATGTGACCATATTGATGGATATGTCGGATATGTATCCCATCAAATATGTCCACACACTGGTTGGTTATATTTTCGCATGTTTGCGGATTAAATCACATTCTTGGTTATACTCCGCATGAAACACCTCTTAAATCCCATCAAATCATCATCAAATCATATGACATACCATTAGTTCCCATTAAATCGTTAAATCATATTAAACAAACTCGTTGAACCCAATTAAGTAATCCGAATTGAATCATTTTCCATCATATAATCCGAATTAAACACCAATTAAATCCGTGAACACCAAAATATCATGACATACCATTACTTCTTCAATAAAATCATACTAAATCATATAACAAACTACCACTAAACACCATTTTTCTGGGTGAAAACCACCATGTTTTTTCTGCTGGACGTTCACCAGGTGACCCCACTTGTAGGTCCCGGGGCCCCGTGTGAAGCAGACCCCAGGCTTCAACCAACTGAACTCGGAACAGCCCCAGACCGTCTCCTGGAAAAAGCTGGGGAAAAGGTGGGACAAGCCTTTTATATATTGTTATATAAAAATATTATATATGTATACATATATGGAATATATAGATAAATAACCAATTATAAGCATACATCAAGTCTGTAAATGGGATTTTACCAACTTGATAAATGATTACTGTGGGCTATCTACATATAAATATATGATATCACCAACTTGATACATTGATTTTGAGTTTTGTCTCAATCATTGGCGACTCATATTATAATTTAGATCCAAACTATGTTCAGGGCCTACGGGGGAATTTGATGCTAACTAAGCTGTCAGATTCTTGGAAAAAACATGTTTCAAAATCACATGGTCCTATCCTGTTCAAAAAGACTTGGACACCAAACATAGCCAGATTTGTCGATTTGTCACTGACCATCATCCTTTTTTTTAAGTTTTTTATTTTGCATCAAAAACAAGGTCATCATGTGCCCAAACATTTTTTGGCATCATATGGTGGTTTCCATGGGGGTACAACTAGTTCTCATCCATTTTATCCTTTTTCCGTTTGGATTTTCACAAAAGGATTTTCCCTAGAAAAAAGCTTCCAGCTATAGGCGCACCCCCATTTATCTAGGTAAATTATAATATTTCACTAACCTGAATCGGCCATTTTGGGATAATTCCCTTATAAAAACCATGATTCCAGGGTTCGGTCCTTATGATTTGCCCAGATCCCAGACTGTTGGGATCATATTCATTATATACATTATATGCCCATTGGTGATATATCCTAAATACCATAGTGATATATCCATACTATACCCCAAAAATGGCGATATTTGGAAGATTTTCCCAATAAAAAACCATCCATTTTGGGGTACCCCCATTTATGGAAAAGCCCAGGCTGCGCGAAGCTGCGCGAAGCTTTCGGTTTCTTGCTTCGTCCTCCAGAGTGGCCCAGCCAAAGCCCTGCGTGAAGGCTCCTTCGATCTGTCCTGGTTTAAAAGCGCCAGTGGAAAGCTGAAACGAATATATTATAAACAGAATCCCAAGAAGCTAATAGGACTATTAACCAATATATTAATGGGAAATATTAGCATATCTATAATAGTCATTAATAAGCGATATATCAATGGAATATTAATGACTATTAATGAAGCTATAATTGAACTTGGGATATTAAATGGATATTAATCACAATGGGATAATTATACAATAGTTATTAGTCATTATAAACAGAAAGTATATTGGTTATTAACGACTAGTAATAACTATTGTATAATAGTGTAAAACAAAATAGTCATGAATATCCCATTCTAGTTGGATAGTAGTAGTAAAAACTAAATCACGTCAGTAAAACTCATGTAAACACTTGAAAAAACAAAGCATGACTGGGTGCTTGGTTGAGCCACAGGCCTAAAAAACAATATTTCTGTCAAGATTTGGAGAGCATGATTCCAGCGAGGGACAGAGATTCTCTCGCTAAAACAGACTTGGCTCGAAGAGACATCCTAAAAAGGCCTCTACGATCATAAACCCTTAAATAGATCTCAAAAATAAATCATGTATCTTTGAGGACATTGGATGACACTGGATTTTCACTCCAATATACTTCAATAGTTTGTATATTACAAGCAAACAGGACGACGAGATACACCGGCACAGCGAGGTTTTTCTGGGACATGCATTTCAACTGAATCAGTTACTTCATTTTCTGGACATGTCTCAATATCATTCAATATCTATATTCTCTATGATCTCTATAGAAAACCATCATTTCTTCATGGGAAAAGTCGCCATTTTTTTGTTGGCCTCGGCCTGTTGGGGTCCACGTGTCCACGTGTCCACGTGTCCACGTCGCGCCTATGTCAATGGCAGGATTCAGGCTGTTGCCAACATCCATGAGGATGTCGGATCCTGAAGGAAGAAGTGAAAAAAACGCAGTTTTTATTGGACATACCCGGCATACCCGAACTAAATGGAGGTTTACAGCTGGGAAAATCTACACTAAATGGAGGTTTACAGCTGGGAAAATCTACCCGAACTAAATGGAGGTTTACAGCTGGGAAAATCTACCCGAACTAAATGGAGGTTTACAGCAAAATCAACTAGAAATGCTGGTTTCTTTCCTTTTACGAATGATTTCTAGGTCGTGAATCAGGTTGCCAAAGATTCTGAGATATCTTGGTCGCAGCATCTTGCTGTGCATAGGCTTGGCACACCTCTGCTTACTTACGTTTCAGCGAAGGAAACGGATGGAAATGGCTCAAAAAATCGATCTCCGGCAGACATGGCAATGAACAGTTTCCCATTCCTAGATGATTTTTATTTTTCTCACTAAAGCACCATTTATTTATTGGCCTTACAGACCCCGCTTTGACGCTACCAAGAACTAACTCCAGCTGGCCCAATAGGACTCCGCACTTAAGATTCTCATGTCACCCGTGAGCACC